CCTCTTCTTCCATCTCCCTGTTACAAAAATCAATGCCGTGTACACGACCACTGATAGGAGACGTGGAAGGTATTAAACTGATCAGAACAATACTAAACCCACCACCCCTATCTGGTGGCACATTAGCTTGACCGCGCAGTGCCCCAAATTTGAATTAAGAGGACCGACCAAGCATCTTCTTCCATCTCCCTGTTACAAATCACTGCCATATCCATACAAATTGTACAGAATGTCCAGGATAGTTTTCCAGGGACAAATGTTGTCGCCTGTTGAACGAGGTGACCTTGCTCGGGTCCCAGGTGTACGGTTCCTAAAATGGCTGCCATATACACGTCCACTGATAGGAGACGCGGAAGGTATTAAACTGATCAGAACAATACTAAACACACCACAAATAAGGTTTCTCTCCTGTATGGCTCCTCAAATGATGCTTAAGATTAGAAGCGGCTGAAAAGCATTTCTCGCACTCAGAACAAAAATATATTTTTTTAACATTCTCTCCACTTTGAACGAAATGACGTTTGGGAAGAGATTAACATAATTAAACACAGGCAGTAAAAATACAGTTTTTAGCCATACCCTGTAACTTTAAAACTACACATCCCATCCTCATAATTACATATTTGGAATCAGCACACTTAAAACATAAACATAACCAAAAATCAGCCAAATCCATCCAGGGGTTAAAAAGTTAGCCGGAGGTCCCTTTATGACCGACCGCAAGCACATTTTCCTGCCCAAAACAGTTCCATAGATTTGGGCTGTGAGGTCGGTCTATTTCAGGCTGAAAAAACGACTAAGTCCCATCGCCGAATGGGACTTAGTCTCTGCAGCTGAAATAAGGCTGAAAAAAACGGCTGAAAAAAAGACTAAGTCCCATCGCCGAATGGGACTTAGTCTCTGCAGCTGAAATAATTTCCCATTTACTGAACCAAGTGGGAAATAGCAAGGCAGGCACAAAGGGTTTGCACCAGGTCTGGGGACACAGGGGACACCGCCTTAAAGGGGCCGTGTCCCCAACAAGTCTGGGGACACGGCCTTAAAGGGGCAGTGTCCCAATCTTCCTGATGTCCCAAAAAAGGTGTTTAAAGGGCCAGCACCAGTCACATAAAGAGTCCATAAGCCCCAATATGCCCACCGACAGTCTTAAAGGGCCATACACACCAAATAAAAGTGCATACATTTTCACAATCTCCCAGGGGCCATAGTCATGCGGGAGGAGGCTGGCAAATAGGCTTCTCCACAACCCATGGCAATTTGCCATTTAAAGGGCCCGTTACAAATAGCAGTTTGTAACAAGGTGTCAATCCATATCTGCCAAGTGACCGATGTAGGGGGACCAGTCCCTATTCTGCTCTGTGTCAGTGTGTATCAGGGAACCTTAGGACAGGTGTCAATCCATATCTGCCAAGTGACCCGATGTAGGGGGAACAGTCCCTATTCTGCTCTGTGTCAGTGTGTATCAGGGATCCTTAGGACAGGTGTCAATCCATATCTGCCAAGTGACCCTATGTAGGGGGACCAGTCTCTATTTTGCTCTGTGTCCGTGTGCATCAGGGGCTCTGAGGACAGGTGTCAATCCATATGTCAAGGTGTCAATATGTCATATGTCAGGTGTCAATCCATATTGATTGTGATTTAGGAATGTTAGGTGATTTCTGCCCTTTATGGATTAAAACCAGACTCTGTATCAACTGTGTAATTTTCCATGGGAGTTTTGCCATGGATCCCCCTCCGGCATGCCACAGTCCAGGTGTTAGTCCCCTTGAAACAACTTTTCCATCCCTATTGTGGCCAGAAAGAGTCCCTGTGTGTTTTAAAATTCGCCTCCCCATTGAAGTCAATGGCGTTTCGGGCGGTTCGCCGGTTCGCGAACATTTGCGGAAGTTCGCGTTCGCCGTTCGCGAACCGAAAATTTCGGGTTCGCGATATCACTACTAATAGCCTGCTAGATCCTGCAGGAGCCTCCTGTATTTAATTAAAGTTCAGTTCACAGTGCTTTTAAAGTAAGTTAATATCTGATTGAAAATGAAATAAAAAAATTTCCATTCAGGCTGTGTCAGTCACAGCCATGGGAGGTGTGGCTAGGGCTGTATAAACAGAAACAAAAGTACGTAATTTAATTCCTAAATAGAAGTGAATTGAGCATGTATGATTTATACACAAAAACTGCTTAATTTAATAGGAGTTGTTTTGGCGACTATAGTGTCTCTTTAAGTAAAGAAGGAATCAGACCTCAATTAGATACTGAGAGATAGGGAATCTGAAGTTAGTAAGTGCTCAGACGAGCTAGGTTTTTGTTTATAGGGATTTGTGTTACATTATTGTTTTTTTCATTTGCTGCTGTCTCTGTGGTGAAGCTCAACAATAAAGTGCCTGGAATTAAGTTACTTTTAAAGACTGTGCATGTTTGTACCCAAAAGGACCGTGCTAACTGCAGACAAGGATCACAATACCTATACATAAATAAAAATAATAATAAAATAAAATTATATATATATATATATACACACACATTCTACTTATATATTTATGTAATAATTTTACATAATTAGGTCATTTTATTAATTACAATTTGCGGGACCTGCCTGACAACCCAGGCCGAAAGTCCAGGGAATTTAATTTGCTAGCACTATATTTAACCCTGTAACTTTCCAAGAAACCAAAAAAAAACCTGTACATGGGGGGTGGTAGTGTTTTAATCGGAAGACTTCGTTGAACACAAATATTAGTGTTTCAAAACAGTAAAATTTATAACAACAATATCGTCAGTGAAAGTGAAATTGTTGCATTTTTCACACACAAATGGCACTTACACGGACGATGTAATTGTTCTGATACGTTTTACTGTTTTGAAACACTAATATTTGTGTTCATCGAAGTCTCCTGAGTATAACAGTACCCCTCATGTACAGGTTTTATGGTGTTTTCAAAAGTTACAGAGTCAAATATAAGGCTTGTGTTTCAGTTTTTTCACATTGAAATTCACCAGATTGGTTACGTTGCCTTTGAGACCGTATGGAAGCCCAGGAATGAGAATTACCCCCCTGATGGCATACCATTTGCAAAAGTAGAAAAACCAAGGTATTGCAAATGGGGTATGTCCAGTCTTTTCTAGTAGCCACTTAGTCACAAACACTGGCCAAAATTGGCGTTTAAATTATTTTTTTGCATTTTTCACACACAAACAAATATGATCACTAACTTTGGCCAGTGTTTGCGACCAAGTGGCTACTAAAAAAGACTGGACATACCCCATTTGCAATACTTTGGGTTGTCTACTTTTGCAAATGGTATGCTATCATGGAGGTAATTCCCATTCCTGAGCTACTATACGTTCTCAAAGGCAACGTAACCAATCTGTCGAATTTCAATGTGAAAAAACTGAAAAAAGTAACATGCTATATTTGACCCTGTAACTTCCCAAAACACCATAAAACCTGTACATAGGGGGTACTGTTTTACACGTGAGACATCGCTGAATACAAATATGTGTATTTTATTGCTGTAAAAGCAAACAGTATTATGACATTCATAGTTAAAATGTCATGTAGAACTAAATATTTGTTAAAAAAATTCTTATTTTCTCCCATTTTTTGATATTTTATTCATATGAAATTATGTTTCATAGCTAAATATTTTATGTTAAATGAACGTCCTGTTTCCCCTGAATAAAATGATGTATAATAAGTGTGGGTGCTCTTAATATGAAAGAGGTGAATTACGCCTGAACAGACATATAGCGCAAATTCAAGTTTTTGTTTACGTTTTGTTTTGATCACAATGTGTACATATGGCTCAGTCCTTAAGCAACCCCCCACCCACCCGTGTGGGCCACAGTAGATCCTTGGCAGCCCTGCACCCTCCCCCCCCCTCCCGACTGCGAGACCCAGGTCGCCCCCAGTACCACCATTCCCACCTAAGGGGCCCCCAGAAAGACCCCCTGCACTTGTCTGTCCTGTAAAGGGCCAGCTCCATGTGGCCCTGGAGCCGGCGTTGACGCTGTTCTCAACATCCACGCTAGGGGCTGCCCTCCCAGCCGGTGGCCAGTCCCACGTGGCATTCCAAGGGGCCCACAGGGGCACAGGGGCTGCGTTGTCAGTGTCCTGGGCAGCTGCCTGTCGCAAGGAGCCCCTCTGAGGCTCCAGCGGTGCACTGGGAGGCGGGGCCTCAGCCACGCCGCCGCAGCGCCTGCAGCCCGGATCACTGCCCGCTCCAACCACCTCGTGAACACCACTTCCTCCACCATAGGAGCCTGGGCTCAACCGACGTGGGGGCCTCCTGGCCTTTGCAGATTGACCACCGCCGCCATCTTGCTCCTCCGTCGCCAACACCGATCCCAGCCAAGCCCGGAGCCACTCAGCCCCACGGTTCCTCACTGCCGTCCTGATCCCCTCCAGGGCCTAGAGGGTTACCGGACGCTGTGCCAAATTATTTTTCTGCTAAATTATTTTCACGGTAATGAGTCTATTTTTGCAGCAGTCCATCAATCTGAAAGTTTAGGGAGTTTGTGAGCTTGGTCCAGGAACAAGTCATCCTTCTAAAAGCATTTATAAAATACAATAATGTAAAACAGTCACTTGTACTGATGAAGTCTGGGACCCACCGTCTATGAATACTATTCCTGCAGGACTATGTCTGCTGTCTTTTTAAGCTTTGTGAGTAAGATTCCCTCCCAGTGAAGTAAACTTACCAAACAGTTTGTTGTGAGCTGTTCCCATCCATTTTGGCCTCTAGATGATCTATACACTCTCATTACCGCTCTTAAACTCAGCCTTTATTGTTGTTGGTGGAGAGTGTAACATGCCTTGGAGATTCTTCTTGGTTACCAATAGATCTTTTGTAGGTGGGCATAGCAGAGCTAATTTGAAGACCGTGTTGGAGAGGTGTTTGCACGGAAGTATAGCTGCCATCTTGATGAGATCATAGCTGGTCCTGTCATTGGTGTTCCATCTCTTTTTGGCCCTCAATAAAACTGTGGGTCCTGGAGGGTGGATTTTCAGTCCAATAAAGTTGCTGAGCAATCTTAAAAAAAAAAAAAGAATCTGCAATGGTCCCTTATAATGTCGCTTGGCCTCAGGACAGGTTTGTCAGGAGCTAACACTGCATATATACGATCCCGATCCGAGCTAGGATACCACTGTTTCCCCTCGATATATAGTTTTTAAAATGTGTGTTGATGTGGAACACTCTCTAAGAGGCTAGTATTATAATTTTTGGGCAACATTTGCATCTGGTATCCACACACACACATAGAACACACTGTGTGCTAAACACAGACACGTTGGTCCCTTGGCCAGGCCTCCCTTGGCTTAGTAAGTTACATACACAGTGTCAAAGCTCCTTTGTGTGGGGGTCACAGAGTGGATTTTCACTAGCTGCAGAGACCAGTTCTGCAGCTAATGAAAGGTAAGTTTTTAAGGCTTTGGAAATATTTGTGCAAATTTTGGTAAATGCATATTTATGGCACTAATTAAATGCATTAAAAAAGAATATGCATTTTTTGAACAAAGCTTCCATTTTATGAGATTAAAATAACTATTCGGGGCGACATTAAACATACTTTAATACGTTTATATGTACATGTTCAAAATTAAATGTTTTTGCATGAACAGTAATCATTGATCTGTGATTAAATATTTGCATTTGATTTGTGACTATTTGTTTTGGCTCTAAAATAGTGGGCACCGTCATATACATCTGTCTGGAAGTACTGATATTTTGTAACTAACAGTGAGATAGCTCAGGGCATGCGAGGATTAATTCAAGGCTTTGCTTTTTATTTTCTGATAGAAAATACGATCCACATTCAGTTAAAGTGACACTATAGTCATTGATTTAATTTTTCTGCTGATATGCTTGCTGCCCTTGCTGATTATTTCTGACTTTTCTCTATTTTCTATTTACAAATTTAGATTTAATCTGCAGCAAACCAAAATCAGTAATCACTACTTGTTTAAGAACTGCTGAGGACATTTTTTTTCTAATTATGTAGCACTTGTTAGGGATTTAGTATGTACCATTTCTTTACCTTTGTAAATGTTGAAGTATACTGTCTGTGGTACTCCGTTAACTCTTAACACGGTGGCATTTCCCCTACACTGCATTGATCTGAGCGCTATTTGAAGAACTTGGGTGCTCAGATCAGGGCTATTTGGGGATGTATAATATGTGGGGTTATTTTATGTTTTCATTATGTTTTGGGGTACTTTTATGTTATTCTGTTTGCATTTCTGTTCCAGGGAGATAATTAGCTTACTGGTCTTTAACACAATTATCTCCCAGGCCCATAGATTCATGGGAGGGGCTTGTGTTGAATACAATGGAGACCCCCTGCTGGGAGTTTGAGTTTGGCTCATCAAAATCAGTTGTATTCCCAGGACTATGTGTCATCTGGTTACTGGGAGGGAAAGGGCTAATCACTGCTCAGCACCTTGTTCCAACTTATGGAGGATTCAGTGGGGAAAGTCCTTGTAAGGACTGTAGCTCCCAAGACTGTGTCGTCCAGCCCCTGGGAGGGAATAGAGCTAGTCACTTATCCTGCTCCAGGACTTAGAAAGGCTCCAGGAGGACCCCAGTTAAGCCACAGCGACTAGGGCAGAAGCGCTGATATTTTCCCCAGTTCCAGCTAGGAAGCAGTCCTTGGCGGACGTACTCAGCTGGGGTACAGGGAGCTCCGCTACAAGGGGTATTTATTTGGGTTTAAAAAAAAAAAAATTTTTAAAAGTACTCCACTTATCATGTTTTCTATAAGATAGTTATTCAATATAGTGAGAATTCCAAGTAAATTCAAGGTGAATTTCAAATTTAAGGCCAGAGTAGCTGAACTGAAAGCATAGCTGAATTAGAGAATTTTTCCATTTCGGCTATTTTGCCCTTAAATTTTTAATTTACTTTGAATTTTCAGTACACAGTAGGCAACAGGAAATGCATAGAGTACTGTAGGTAATCTGAAACACAGCAGTATAGATAGATTGTGCTGTCACAAAAAGAGGAAAAAAGCGACCAAATAATTATTTTGAAAATGAATCAATTCCAACTGATATTCGAATAGTAAGTAAATAGGCAATAAGAAATCCACCAAGTCCAATCAATCTATAAACACATCATGAATCCTAACATGCTTGCCTCTGTGCAGCTCAACGAGCATCTATTAGGTAAGTCTTGCTCTCTGCCCACTGATCTTTCTCTTATTTTGCTCTCTGCTATCTTACAGTGGGTAGCGGAGTCTCTGCACCTCATCAATAAAGTCAATTTATTGTATTATAATCAGTGAATATTTTGGGTAACACTTTTGGTAAAATGTTTATTTCAATTGCAATTAGGTAATGTTTTTCTTTCTTAATTCATTGTATTTTGGCATTAGGGGGCCCCCTAGCGGACAATCTCAAATAAGATACTACAAGATTCCCCAAGTAGTAGAGGGATCTGCATTGTACCGCTAGTTTATTTCAAGTATTTTAGGTAGTTTTATTATTATATACAATCCTATATTGATTGATTGCAAATATAGACTTTATAGACTTTTAGTTCAAAGGGTTCAAATTGAAAAAGTATTTTTACGTAGCCATATCTTTTAAATTCATTTTTAAAGATCTTACATCATTTTCAACATAGTAATTTTTGTTTTATACTAACATATTTACACTAACAAACCAACACATGAATATATATATATATATGTATATATATATATATATATAGACAGCATAATTAGAGTCTTTATAAAGTACTTTTTTAAAATATAATATAACAATTAAACATAGTACTTTATATATCATGTCTATTGGGCCCAAATCTTGAAATATGCTACTGGATCGCATTGTTGAGGCAATCGTTTTTGGTAGTAATTTTATTTTATTTTTTTAAATTCTTTATGACACCATAACAGAAAATCAAAAATACCACAGTTGTATGCAACTCATCAAAAATGCATCAACAATAGTATAAAGTAGACAAATATGTAGTCCTATAAGGGACCCTTTATGAGCATGTTCAGCAGGATATTGTGGATTTTCACTGAAGGTATAGTCATCGATGGTGACTTGCCCATTTTTTTAAATTAATTATAATAAAACAACGAAACAATGATATGAAGTAAGGTACAACCGACCAAATCAAACATTTTTCCCATACAACATGCCTAAATTGGCTGACCAATTCTATGAACTGGCTATATTGTAGTTGTGAGGCATTGCAATCTAAACTACACTACCACCGAAATGGCATTCTGCTATTGCCAAGTCAATTCACAACCCGTATGTCCTCACGGTATGTATGAGGTTCTAGCAAATGTGATGATCGACATTAAGAGGTCAGTCAAAGTGGGGAAGAACAGAGAAATAGCTGAGAAAAAAGGGAGGAAAGAAGTAGAGGAATAAGAGTCTTGAGATAGCTAAAAGGAAGAAGGAAATGATTATAAAGGGGATAGGGGGAGGGGATCGCGGGGGGGGGGTCACAGAATGAAATCCTATGTTGGTAATTGCTAGTCTAGGCGTTTTGGTTGCCATGTAGCAGCATATTTTAAAGAGTATCTCAATTACCTATTAGGCCGATTATACCCTGAGTTCTCCCCTTGGGGTCCTCAAAGACCCGCCATGCTAGGTTGAGCTGGGCAATTTCATCGATATCCTTAGGTTAAGAAAGTAATGGGAGGATATGGGGGAATAAGCCCATTCCACCTATCCTTAATCACCGCTGTCTAACCATGGGCTCCAAACCTTTTTGAATTTCTTTATAGTACCCCTGACCTGAGCTGTTAATTTATCCATGAGGAATGTATCTTTAATTTTTTGTATCACTATATTAAGTGGGGGGGTCTCGCTTTTTAGCCATACCTGAGCTAAGGCCCTCCTTGCTGCCAAATTTATTTTGTGTATCAGAGCCTGCTCCACTCTAGGCCAGTTATCCAATGATCTGGCCAGAAGGAACACCCAGGGATCTGGCTTAACCTCTCTATTAAAGACTTCCCGCAGCAGGTCTGCGACCTGTTTCCAGTACTGTTGTGCTTTCATACACTCCCACCACATGTGTATACAGGTTCCCTTCTGTCCGCCTCCCCTCCAGCTAACATCTGTGGAAATTTTGTTCGTCCTACAGAGTTTTACCGGGGTAGCATACCACCTGAATATAGTCTTATAAGCCTGTTCCTGCATGGAGACACATATAGAGGATGTCGAGGCGGCCTCCCAGATCTCCTGCCATTCAATACCCTCCAGTTCCTTGTTTAGATCCGCCTCCCATTGGGCTGTATACGTGAGCTCCCCCTATTCTAACGCGTGCGTGCTTAAGTGTGCGTACATAATGGTGATAAGGCCTCTCGGGATTTGTTCTTTAATGCATATCTTTTCGAAAAATGTAAGTGGGGTTAGCACAAACTTTTTAATTGCAGAGTTTTGGGCATTGTCCCGAAGCTGGAGGTATCGGAAAAGGTCTGAGGTGCGTAAAGGGGCCCTGGCGCTTAAGTCCTCGAATTATATAAATGAGTCGCCCTCAAATAGATGGCATAGCCGCTGAACTCCTGTGTGTTCTATGCCCCTAAAATTCCTTGCTTCCATCCCTGGGGGGAATGCCGTGTTCCTTAAGTAGGGGGTTAAGAGGGATAAGCTGTGGGATAAGCCGTATTTCGATGCTGTAGCGTCCCATATTTTCAAGGAGTTTACTATGGCTGGACATTCGGTATGTATAGCTGGTCTATTGTCCTTAGGGACCCAAATAAAGAATTGAGGGGAATCCAATCCCATAAAGGATGATTCCAGGTCCACCCACCACCTTTCGTCCGGAGGAGTGTGCCAAAGTGCTATTTGGGTGAGCTGGGCCGCCAGGTAATAGAAGTAGAGGTTTGGTAGGCCCAAGCCACCCCTCGTTTTTGCCCTATAAAGAACGTTGCACGAAACTTTATGCCTCCTGTTCTGCGATATGAATTTTCCTATGGCCTGTTGAAGTGCTCCCAGGTCAGATTTAGTCATCCTGACCGGGAGTGCCTGAAATAAGTATAGAATTCTGGGGAGAACATTCATTTTTACCGAATGTATCCTACCAATCCAAGATATCAGTCTTTCAACCCACCCCTTTATGTCTCCCATCAAGGTTCGTTTCATGGTAGTATAGTTTTGCTGGAACAACTGAGCTGGGTCCGCCGTCAGTTGGACTCCTAAATACTTTATCTGGTTTCGTTCTATACGTATCTGATAAGTTTTTCCAATGTGAGCTATTTCTGATTCTATTATGCTTATAGGGAGCGCTCTTGATTTAAACAGGTTCACCTTATATCTGGCTATCCCGCCGTATACGTCCAGTACGTTTGTCAGTGCCGCCATTGACTCGATTGGGTCAGTCAAGGTCAACAAGATGTCGTCTGTGAATCCCAACACTACGTACTTCTGGCCTCCAATTGTGATTCTCTTAATATCTGAACTGTTTCGTATCGTTTGTAAGAGGGGTTCCAAAGAGAGCGCGAACAACAGGGGCGATAAAGGACAACCCTGTCTGGTTCCGTTCCCCAAACTAAAAGGCATCATCTTCGCTCCCGATATCCAGACCTGAGCCTTTACGTCCGTGTACATTGCGCGAATTGCGGTTATAAACGTATTTGAAAAGCCTATGTGTTGCAGTACCTCAAATAGATAAGGCCATTTTACTCTATCGAAGGCCTTCTCAGCCTCTAGTGATATCAGGGTCAGGATCCCCTTTGCTGCTTGCCGCCATATGAGATCAATATTGCGCCTAGTATTTTCAAACAGTTGCCTGCCGGGTACGAAGCCTACCTGGTCCGGGTGTATTAAAAGCGTCAATAGGGGGTTCAATCTGCAAGCCAGGATCTTTGCCAGTATTTTAGAATCATGATTTATCAAGGATATCGGGCGGAAGTTTTCCGGGATCAAATCATCTTTGCCAGGTTTTGGCAAGAGTACAATATCCACTAATGACATGTCCCTATCCGGGGTGCCCCCCTTCATTAGATCATTGAACCATGTTTCCAGATGGGGTATAAGTTCTTCGCGGTTGGCAGTAATTTTTTAAAACATTGATTATGTTTGTAATTCTTCCTTGGATAATTTTAGAACATTGCCCATCATTAGAAAGAAATGGTCCATGGATACTTGCTCATAAATCTTTTTGACTTGCCAATTTTTATTCTTTATTTTTTAGAAGACTGTTCTGGGTCTCAAGAGACCCAACATATTTACTCCTTTATGTAAAGGATGCACAATAACCTGATGGCCATTTTCATTACGGACTAATATAGTCAATTTGATGGGTGCTATCATCCCATTCATTGACAAATAGACTCTCTTAACCCCTTAAGGACACATGACATGTGTGACATGTCATGATTTCCTTTTATTCCAGAAGTTTGGTCCTTAAGGGGTTAAACTGTACTTTAAAGACATGCAAGTAAAGTTTAAAAATAACCAAATAAAAACAGCAAAAAACTGCTGTTTTTATTTTTTTTAACTTTACTTGCATGTCTTTAAAGTTAATCTTACATACTAATTAAAGCACATAACCATCTAATATCATGTATAGTATCTTTCTTATGTTAGACCTATTTGCCTCTTCCAGCTAACATGATATGACATGTTTATTATGATGACTATAAAACTGTGCTCCAACTTTGCAATGCCATGCTCTAATTGACCGCTATGTATGATGTCATGTAGCCTGTTACCCCATGACAACTGTTTATGGTATGCCTGTTGTAATGATATAGCTAGATTGGACCATGCAGGCTCCTTCCACGGGAGGCACATCTTCAAGGTCAAACCAGCCTATCTAGCTGACATTCTCCCTACTGCTGTAGATGTATCCCAGATGTGATGGGCATGCTAGTTCAACCATTATCTTACAATCTGTTAGTCTCCCATACACCGAAAATAGTACCCAGCGGCTACTCAGCTAAGGAATTAACTATAGTTTAGCGTGTTACCCTATTTTGATTTATTTTATCTGACTACGTTAATGTCAACCCATATGGTATGTTTCAATCAATCTTATTGCTCTCTCATCATCTGACATTACATGTATCAGTCTGTTTATTACTTAAGAAATGTGCAGTACTATTACATGCCACAATCTAATGCCTTTTGAAATGTCTATATTTGGTATCGTGGCATGGCACGCTTGTTTGTCAAAATTTTGTACAACAAATATAAAGAATTATGGGGGAAAAAAGGTACTTCTACAAGTTTAAAGAATTCAGAAACTTTACCAAAATGGGAACCACTAAACAGTAATGCTGAATTAACCAGTAAATTCCCAAATGAACGATTATTGATCATTGGCTCATTCCTCCATAATAGGCATCTATGTTGCTCTGCACCTGTAGTATATGTGCTGAGTAATGTTCCTTGTAATCATTTTTAGTTGATTTCAAAAGCTCACCTTGACAGGTCTCAAAAACTAAAAATGTTCTCGTTCACAAAAATCTCCTGAAGTAGGGTCATGTAATTGATATATTTTACCAAAATGTGATGATTCATTTTCTTCATTAGAAGTTATATTAGAGTCAAACATTGCTGATTCTTCAATTGTAGTTTTGGATTTTCTGTGAACCGATGTCAAATAAACGTTGGGTGTTAAAAATAAAATAATGTTTAGATGAAGATTGAATAGGAGTTACTTTCGAGCTATCCATCAATTCCTCTTTATCAGCTTGAGGCTTGTCTACTATGGTGCATTAGGGAAACAATGCTATGAGATGAGATGCATATCACTACTTGCTTGTTTGTTGTTACATCCTTATGACCATACACTGAGGCATAATTCTGTTTTAGGAAGAAAAAATATTGTTTCTATTTTTTAAAGGTATGTGTTAGATCAAAGGTTGCATGAATGTGATTTAAATTTAAAAATGTATTAAAAAAAGTATATTGTTAAAAGGGTACTCTACGCACCATGATCACTTCCATGATTTGAAGTAGTCATGGTGCCTGGAGTCTTTGTGGGTAGCGTTTTACTATGAAATGTTGGACGTAGGGAGATAACTCTACCTGCTGGTCGTGTAACTCTACTTCTGGCAATGACTAGGATTCTGGGTGGACTAATGTCAATTCTCTGCATATTACAATACTTTTCTCAGGATAGCTACCAAAGGCTGAGAGCAGTCAGTAGATGCTTTCAGCCAATGATTAGCCAGCAAGGTTGGCTTCTGAGCGTTCGGCGGCAGATGCTGGATCAGGTGGACCTCGTGGAGCAGCCCACATGCCTTCGGTGGCGGAGGGTTTGGCCGGTGAGTCTGGAACTACTGCACCTACACAGGGATTGATTAACACTTTGTAGCATTTCATTGACACTTGGGGAAAAGAGGGGGCAGAAGGAGCAGAAGTGAGTCAGTTCTGGGTGCCAGGCATGGATGTTCCCAAGTTCCCGGGTTCCATGCTCGCGTACTCTTCTGACAGTGGGGCGGCAAGCAATGGGGTGGCTTCAGCGGCGGATGGTGACAGGGAGAGGGCAGTGTTGACAGGTGGCATTTCAGATGTGGCGTGGGAAAATGTCTCTTTCACTGGGCCATTGGGTGTTTATCTTAAGCAGGAAGTGAGTTTATTGAGGTGTTCTACCTTCTTCCGTTAGAGGATTATAATGACTTTAAGGAAGGCGACAAGAAGGACGCCAAAAAGGAGGAGGAAGAGAAAAAGAAGCGCTATAGGAGGATTCTGAAGTCTTTCGGCAACTGGCTGCGGGCCTTTTGTATATTGGCCAGCGTCACTGGCGAGAAATCTCCGGGTATTTGTTCCTCCCTGTTCTTCTATCTCAATGGCATTTGGGAAGCTTACTATACGTACGTCGGCTTGGCACGGTGGAAGTACGGCGAGCAGTTTAGACAGCGGCTGTCGGCCAACCCTGGGATGTGATGGAACTAAATGGACCTCCCCTTGTGGCTTAAGCTGATGATGGCCCAGAAGGTGTCCCCCTTTCAGTCCGGGGGCCGGCGTGGGGGGTCAGTCTGCCTCGTCGGCTGCATTTAGGAAAGGTATTTGCCGGCTTTTCAACGAGGGCCAGTGTAAGTGGGGTTCGCTGTGCAGGTTTAAGCATGAGTGCTCTGGGTGTGGGGGAGCTCATGCTCTCCAACGGTGCTTTAAGAAAGGGAAAGACGAGATCGCTGGTGGATCTCCGGCGCCTGGTTCAGCATCCACTGCCCCGAGGCATAACCACAGTGAGGTTAGACGCAATGCTACCGTGGCTAAGCCTCTACGGTAACAGAGCCGACGCGGACTTGTTGAGGGCCGGGTTTTCAGAGGGTTCCGTCATACCCTTTCGGGATCGGGAGTTCCCCTTAAGTTTTCACAAGTACGCATTATTCGACCACGCGGTCGAGCTGGTTAAGAATGCCGGGCACACAGCTTTGATGGCGAAAGTTGACTGATTGAAAGAACTGCGCAAAAGTAATACTTCCTCAATATTTAATGGAGTTACTTTTAATAAAACAATTCTCTTTGCTGATTTGGTGAATTCCTCCTCAGATGTGTTTCCTTAACCACAATAATAAAATCAATGAATTTAAATAGTGGACTTTAACTATATTTCAGACATAACTTTAAAAAAGTAACATCTATTTTTGAAATACAATAAATATATTTAATGTCATTGTGGCTGCTCTTTTTTGTCTTCTCTTCCAATCTGATCTGTAAGTGTATGATTGTGTTTGTCTAACAGTGTGTGTATATTTTAATGAATAGTTTATTTTTATGAATGAATACAAAGTCAATGATACACAAATACTGACCCATATCCGCACATTTAGTGATAAATGGATACTGACCCATACACACTCTCATCAACCACAGACACTAACCCATGCACACACTCACTAAAAATCTGACCTATAAACGCTTTAATGATTAAAGACAATGACCCATACACACTTACTAATACACAGACACTGAACCACACACACACTCACTGATATGGACACTGACCTATACACACACTCACTGATACGCAGACACTGACCCAAATGCACACTCACTGATACACAATCACTTACCAATACACGCACTCAATGATCAAAGACACTGACCTTTACACACACACTTAATAATACACAGACACTGACCCATATACACACTTACTAATACACAGACGTTTGACCAATGCACACTCTCACAGCACACAGACACTGACCCCTACATACACTCACTGATGCGCAGAGAATGACCCATCTGATTCTACATTTTCTGTATTTGTAAATGTAAAAGTTAACTAATTTTTGGTGTTGTGTGTCTGCTTTAAATGTTACTAGTCATAAAATACATATACCAAAATGTAAACATATATCGTGTAGTTTCAATGTTGTGTGAATATGTTCTATATAGTATTTCTAATATAAAAATAAAAATGTACAGTACAACCATATGGCATTCGCAAATATATAGCATTGGTATAAATGAAGACATTAATTTTTAAAACTGAGCAAATGGAAAGATTATTTCTAGGGATTAATGATTGGTAAGATTTATTGTGCAAATGGTAATATTTTGTGTGCAGCATCCTATGAAATGTAATATTTTACTGTCTTACGCAAGAAAGAACAATACAATAGCTTCACTTATAAACTCAAGTATTTTCCGGGAACTGGAATTTCCTGCTTGTTAAGCATTCAGTAAAATTATAAATAATACAAAAATCATTGCAAAGCAGTTTATAATTATGCAAACATCAATGAAACAGAAATACAAAACGCGTAATACATTCACCAGTAAAATAAAAAATATTTGGTACAGAATGACTTTGCCCAATAGTAATGATGCAAAATATTTGCAGTAAATCATTCTTGTGCTCTGTACTGTAGTGAATAGATGAAGAACTATTACTGTATCCTTTGAACCATAAATGGATATTTCATTTCTTTTTATAAAGCTCGGTGGTATTTATCACGGTACGCACACCGCTACCATACCGGACTAAAAGAAGGATTCTTATCTTAAAGAAATGATTGAAATTAATTATGTAGGTGTACTTTGTCAGTAATAACCTTTCTGCAGCCAACATTTGCATAATGCATCTGATCAGTTTTCAATAAAAAAGATTTTGCAGAAAAATGGGTAAAAAGATTGGACTCTTAAAGGACCACTATAGTGCCAGGAAAACATACTTGTTTTCCTGGCACTATAGGGTGTCTAGGTCCCCCCCACCCTTAGGGTTCCCCTCCCGCCGGGCTCTAGGGTAAGGAAGGGCTTAAACACATACCTTGTCTCCACCGCCGGGCTCCCTCTGCGGTGGGGACTCTCCGCCTCCTTTCCCGTCATTGTCAGTCCATAGGAAAGCATTCTCAATGCTTTCCTATGGACGCTGGCGTCTTCTCACTGTGAAAATCACAGTGAGAAGTGCGGAAGCGCCTCTAGCGGCTGTCAATGAGACAGCCACTAGAGGCTGGATTAGCCCATAGGTAAAAAGTTTACAGCAGAAAGGGTTAACCCTAGATGGACCTGGCACCCAGACCACTTCATTAAACTGAAGTGGTCTGGGTGCCTATAGTGGTCCTTTAACTTGTGAGCATGCTAAGCACAGTTAGATAATAAAAAGAACTATCAGCAGGATTAAACTATTATGTTTTCAGTAAAAAAAAAAATGATATTGTGTGAAGGGGAAAATTTGAGTCATTTAATATTGTGAATTAATCTGAATCAAAATAAAAGACAAGAATAACAAAGTAAATATTTCACAGCACTACTTGTACTTCAATTATTTTTGCTGTTGAATACATTCCATTCATTAACAAAATAAAGTCAATATAGAAATCAGATTGTTGATGCAGAAGTAAATCTTAGATTATCGTGGGAGAATTATTATTAAATGAGTGAGTAAATGTGTGAATGAATTTGACTTTGAATTCTGTTTAATGTTGCTGCTATATCATCAAAATGAGTTAAATTCATCAGAAAACATGTTTTCATATCGGTTGTGTTTTATCCTGCTATGTATAACTTTTTATTTATAAATACATTAGTGATTACTTTTTCTAATTTTATTCTTGTGTTTATTTGTGGTTCCATTTTACTTTGTTTTGTTTTTATTTTATAAACCAAATTCATTAGATTATTTATTTTTATTTTTAACTTTTTAATTTATTTTTTTTTATAACTTTTTAATGATTCATGCATATGGTGGATGGGTAGATGAATGACAAGATATCAGGTTTTACACATTGTGGATTCCATTTCCCATGTATAATTATAGTTAAAGAGCTACTCCATGCATCATAACCACTACAGTACGCTTTAGTGGTTATGATGCCAGGAGTATCGTGGCCCTGTTTCTGTCACGGTTTACTGGGAGTTGGAGCCCAGGTGCAGGAGATGGCTCAAGGAGGCAAAAACCAAAGCGCAGTACAGATGAAGGTGTAATCCAAAGGCAGGGTCAGGCGAGAAGCAGAAGTCAGGGCTGGCAGCTGAATATCGTAGGCAGTAAGGCAAGCAGAGGTCAGAGTCCAGGAAAACAGGCATACATACAGCAGAAAAAACAAACGACCAGATACTAGGCCTCAGGCAGAGTTGGCTTTTACAACCGGTTGATTAGAATAAGCTGTCTCTAATTAGTAAGGGGCTGCAGGTGGATCAGCACTGCTCCATCCAGGCAAAGGAGTCAGGTAGCAGATGAATGCAGGCAGATACCGAACCCCCTAGTGGACAGCATGGTAGAGATCCTGACTGGGATGCTGGAGTCAAATCCAGCCAGGTCTCTTAAAGGAGCGGCCATGCCTTGCTGTCTGCAGGGTTTGGGGTGCACCATGACAGTTTCCAAGAAATTGGGCAAACAGTTTTGCAACAGTTTGTCTTCTTACTTCGATTCCCTGATGGGTGTCAAGGGTCCTAGAGCGAGAACATCCTAGAGTGAGAACATCTGGCTTCAGCAGAGCTGCAGAAGCTGAAAGTCGATCCGCTGGCCATTCATTGGTTGAGAGCATGACATTTCTTGAATTGACGCACCAATGCGCAATAACTTGTAAAGTACAGGAAATTATAAAGTACTGTGTCTATGGTACAAAACACCAATGAATCTTCAAGACATGGATCCATCACTTTTGCCATAGGGCTTTAGGGCTCTTTCATCAACATTTGGTGGGAGTGTCCACTCATAGTCCCCTATTGAATGGGCTACTGAGAAGATCAATCAATAAGATAAGCCCGACACCTTTCCTTCTTCATCACACTACTACATCATTATCAAAGTATAAAAAAAAAAAACAATGACGATATGCATTCTTTACATTGCAAAACAACTAATTCCTCTATTTTAGATAGATGGATAGATAGATAGATAATTATCCCCCTTTTGTCCATACTCCTTTTAGTATTCTAAAATGGAGGAGCTTAGGATCCTTGAGGAATTATGGCTCTCGACCCAAGGAGGGATTCAGATATACTCTGATATTTGAGATCAATGGCTTGCCTCAGTTTTTACTAACGACCTTCAACGCATGCTCATTGACTCATAATATATAATGCCTGCACCTACTTCTCACAACTTCACTCCGGTTCCTTCACATTTTAAGTAGAGGTCTTCTGGACCTTATTATTATCCACTTGCTTCCTCCAGTCAGGATCACAGGTTCCACCAAAATTGCTGCATTTAATCCCTTTTTTAGTTATTTTAAGGAGATGGAGAAGGAAAGAGAAGCCTGAATGGGCATGATATGGTTCTCTTGTTCCTCTTGCTTGGCTGTCGATAATCTGATTTATCATGAATCTCCTCACTGACCACTGTTCCAACCGCTTAGCAATGGCATGATGACTTTGTTCTGTTTTCTATGTTGAGAATTATTATGATCCTGTTTTCTTATGTAATTCAAGTTTTCCTTTTAGACCTACTTTACTTATGGTATCTTTTATATGAGTGCTCTGCATAACTGCATGTGGGAATGAATACTGTACTTCTTTGTATTTCGTTTTGAAAATTTAAAGAAAAGCTATTTACAAAAAGAATAAATAAATAAAAAATAAATAAATAAGTGCTGGTGAGAATTGAAAATGTGAATTGTGGCCATAGAAATATAATACTAGCTAGAGAAAGGGCAGAATCGATAAATTGGCTTTGTCCTGGTGTAATTTATCTCCAGATGCCTATCTCATTTACCATATTTAATCCTACCTGGAATCTGACACATTATGGGGCAATATCTGCTGATGAATCTGGTTCCTTAGTAAAGGTTGTGGGTGAGCAGTCTATTTGGAATAAAGCACCTATGTTAAATGGTGCTAATGACCTCAGATCTGCAATCCAGCCTCACACGAAAGTTGCTGTAACTTTTCAAATGTGTCTGTTTCTCTGCCAGTAAATAATGAGAAATGGTTTTAGAATTTAGTATCAAGACATAAATATACTTGATAGAAATTAAATAACAATAGCAATCAAGAGGGAGGAGACGGATTAAGACGCACTCAATTTATCAGAAAAACGGACTTGGGAGAACTTGTTATGCCGAAACGCGTCTGCACTTAATTTAGGAAGACTGGCAGGCAGTATTGAATTGTAAAGTATTGATTCAACTCTGATTGTTTTTTACTGTGTACTTTGGCTGCAGTTGTAAACCTATTCATTTGTATGTGTATTTTTTATTATATATTTTTAATAAAACCATGCTACTTTTTCATATATCTTGCAGTTCCTCCTTTCCAGCCTGGTAACTGGAGATTTGTCTGTAGCGGATGGCCCTGTGCTGTCCTGAGCAATTCATGTATTTCTATGCATTTGTGTGAAAATGGCAAAGTCTATGTATTTGATGTATTGGATTCGTCTGAATGTTAGGTCGTTTCATTCCCTTAGTTTGTTCGAATGAAACTACCGAACAGTCAGACCTCCCATGTGTGAAGTGTGTTCTCAATTACCTGTTGCAACATTGTTGCGAACGGGTAATTGGCAAGTGAAGTAGCCGTCCTTTGTTCTCGGGGGTGGCCGCCATTCGAAAAACGAACACGTGGCGGCGGCCATTTTAAAACTCCCGAACAGCGGTGTTTTGCCGTTGAGTGTCTGGAACTCAAATCGGACACTCGACTAGGCGAACACCGCTGAAACCTCCACAAGCCCGGTCCGTTCGGTTCCTAACTACCGAACGGCCCCTCGTTCGGTAGATAGAAAGAACCGAACGAGGGGATTCAGGCGAACCCTCCCTAGCCTCTATAGCTAGAGGCTTTCGTGCAGTTTGTTCCCTTACTCCAGGACCGACCGCAGGGCCCATTCGCATGGAACCGCATTCGGCTGTCTCAGTCAGTGCAGTCGGTCATTTTATTCCCTCCATAGATTTCCCGAACCCCTGGTCTGATCTGGGTGATTTTTGGATATGTTGTTCACCCAGATCAGGGCTACCAGGGGATGTATGATTTAAAGGGGTACCCCTATGTTTAGGGGTACATCCAGAAACGGGGGGGAATTACTGTACTGGATAAGGGTTTATGATGCTGGCTGAGGGGAGGAGATGTGTGGGAGGTTACCAGGACGGGATTGGCTACTGTACTAATGATTGTAAATCCCTCCCTTGCATGGGAGCATGCTTTAAAAGGACAGTGTGGATTAAAGATTTCAGTTCTGCTCCTGAAACTGTGTGTCGTCCAGTTATTGGGATTGCTGTTGGGATATTGCTGTTATTTTACCTGCTGGAAACCTTGCCTGTGGATTTACTATTTACTTGTTCCTGAGCCTCCCTTGGATTATAAGCGGAGATAACCTGGGGAATATTGCATCTCCGCTACATTGGTGGCAGCGGTGGGATCCAGACTCACAAGGGAACAAGGACTAATGGAATACGGATGGAGAGTGATTATGCCAAGCTAAAAAGAGCCACGCTAAAAGATCTCCTAGAAGCGAAAGGTATTGCAGCAAGCAACAAAAGGAAAGCAACCCTCATTGCAGAAGTGATGGCTGAATACCAGCATGAGGACAGGGTAATCCCTGAGCAGCAGAGTTCAGCAGATGGAGCTGAAAAAGAGGAGTTCCAGAGACAGCTACAGTTTAGGCTGTCCTTTTATGGAGAGAATCCAACAACAGATATTATTTCCAGGACAATGACAGAGGTGCAGGAGTTTATACTGTGCCAAAGGCCACTACAGCATCTGGAGAGGAATGCTACCACAGCTACCATCACACAGGGTAAGACAAAAATTCCTTACCAAGCATTTAAAACATATGTAGAAGCAGAGGAGGATATAGATGCTTTTCTTCAAGACTTTGAAAGACTGTGTGCATTGCATAGTATTAGCCCAGAAGAGTGGGTACCTATTTTAGCAGGGACGCTCACAGGGAAGGCTGCTGAAGCATATAGAACTGTACCTGATGAGGAAATTCGGAATTACCGCAGGGTAAAAGAGGTGATCCTGGCCCGATATGCACTCACGCCAGAGGCATATCGGCGGCGGTTTAGAGACCTAAAGAGGAATGACAAGGACTCGCATGTGGAATGGGCTTGCAAGTTACATCGGGCCGCCCTGGGGTGGGTACAGTCCAATAAGGCTCAGTCCATGGAGGACTTATTACAAATGGTGTTGTTGGAGCAATTTTATGAGGGGGTAACAAGCGATATCCAGGAATGGGTAAGAGACAGAAACCCTACCTCCCTCACCGAAGCTGCCAGGAAGGCAGATGAGTACCTGGATGCACACAGGCAGCAGAAACCTGCAGCTCCAAAAGCCACCTTTAAAACCTTTGGGGGAACCAGCTACAACCCAGCTCCACCGAGACCACTGCCACCACCACCACCGCCCACTGCACAGCCACGTTTTCGCCAGCCCACTTCTGGCCCCTGTCATCACTGCCAGAAATGGGGACATTATAAAAGGGAATGTCCCCAGCTGAGGGATCGTTCCACCTGGATTCGCCCCGGCCCGCCACCACCGCCAAGAGCAGCCGCAGCCCACCACTACCAGGATATAGTGACCACACCATATGGTTCAGCAGGAACAATGGGAAGTACTGCACGAAGCGGATCCGGTCCAGGCCAATGCGGATAACCGACAGCATCATAGGCAGACTGTATACCTGGAGGGTAAAGCGGTCCAAGGACTACGCGACTCAGGGGCTACTATCACCCTGGTAAAGAGTCACCTGGTGTCGGATCAAGCTAAACTGAGTAAAACTGTGGCCGTCAGGGTAGCCGGGGGAGCAGTGTACCGGCTACCTACAGCAAGGGTACATTTGCATTGGGGAGCGGGGGCAGGGCATGTGGAGGTGGGGTTGATGCCGCAGTTACCAGCGGAGGTATTATTGGGGAACGATCTGGGGAGGCTCACGTCTGCTTTTGAGCCCCAGACAACCACCACAAGAGTAGCTCACCCTGTGGTCACCAGTCAACAGGCCCGCACCCAGGACTACAACACACTTCCGGAGGTTCAGGTAAGAAATCCTTCCCCTTCCCTTGACTGTGTTCCCTGGGCCCCTCCTAACGAGTTTGCAGCTGAGGTAGTGACTGACCCCACCTTGCAGGTGTATAGGGACAAGGTGACAGCAGACGCTCCTGGGGGAGATGGCGAAAGATTTATCTGGGACAAACAACTGTTATACAGGGAGACAGATAAGCAGGTAGCCGGGTCAGACCCGATCGTGATGAGACAGTTAGTGGTACCCCAGCGGTACCGTGCCGAGCTACTCCGGATAGCGCATGACATTCCGCTATCCGGACATTTAGGGGTCAGCAGGACCCGGCACAGGTTAACGCAAAGCTTCTTTTGGCCTGGAATTAGCCAGGAAGTGCGCAGGTATTGCAACACTTGCGATACGTGCCAAAGGGTGGGGAAAAGGGGGGACCGGCGCAAGGCCAAGCTACACCTCCTTCCCATAATTGAGGAACCCTTTAGTAGGGTAGCAGTCGACTTAATAGGACCCCTCAACAAAGCGAGCCCGTCAGGCAAAAGATTTATCCTGACAGTGGTAGACTATGCCACTAGATATCCAGAGGCAGTGGCCCTGACGAATATACAGGCTGAAACAGTAGCAGAAGCCCTTATGCAGATATTCTCCCGGGTGGGACTTCCCAGGGAGATTGTCTCCGATCAGGGTACCCAGTTCTGTGACATTAAGCCTGTCATTAGTTCCCCTTACCACCCCCAGACGAATGGGCTCTGCGAACGTTTCAACGGTACATTGAAACAAATGCTCCGAACCTTCGCAGAGACCCACAAGGACTGGGAGAAATTCCTGCCTCACCTCCTCTTTGCTTACAGGGAGGTGCCGCAGGAATCCACTGGGTTTTCCCCATTTGAATTATTGTTTGGCCGCAGGGTACGAGGGCCTTTAGATTTAATCAGAGAGCATTGGGAGGGAGAACGGAGCACCGACGGTACCCCCATCATACCATATGTGTTGGCATTCCGAGACCGCCTGGAGGCCTTAACCCAGACGGTACGCGAGAATTTGCAGGCGGCTCAGACACGCCAGCGCACATGGTATGATCGGGGCGCCAGGGACCGTAGCTTTCAGGTCGGGCAGAAAGTGTTAATTTTAAAACCTGTCCGACACGATAAGCTGCAGGCCGCCTGGCAGGGCCCTTATAAGGTGGTAGAACAAAGGTGTGACACCACTTATATAATAGGCTTGTGCGTTGGTACTGGAGGGCGACGCATGCTCCATGTGAACATGATGAAGCCCTACCAAAAGCGCTCCGAGGAAGTGACCGCCATATGCGCGCTTAACTCATAGGAGTTTGACAGTCTGCCTCTCCCAGATCTACTGGGAGAGGGTCAGTTGTCTGGGGACTTAGGGGAAGTTGCCCTGGGAGACCGGCTGAGCACACAGGAGCGGAGCGAGGTACAACAGCTGTTGAGGGAGAAGCAGGATATCTTCTCTAATGTACCTGGTTACACTCCTTTGGCCACTCGCCGAGTAGACACCCCAGGTCAACTCCCCATGCAGCAGACCCCGTACCGCATACCAGAAGCGGTACGGGAGAACATGCGCAAGGAGATCGATGAGATGCTCCAGCTGGGGGTGATTGAACCCTCTGACAGCCCCTGGGCCTCCCCGGTAGTGCTAGTACCAAAACGGGACGGCACGACCCGTTTTTGTGTAGACTACCGGAGACTGAATGAGAAGACGGTATCGGACGCCTACCCCATGCCCAGGATAGACGAACTACTGGACCGGATGGCGAGGGGGCACTATCTCACCACTATTGACTTGTGTAAGGGGTATTGGCAAATCCCCTTAGCACAAGACGCCATCCCTAAGTCGGCCTTTGTCACCCCATTCGGCTTGTACCAATTTAAGGTCATGCCGTTTGGGATGAAAAACGCCCCGGCTACATTTCAGCGGATGGTGGACCGCCTCCTGGATGGGTTCCAAGATTATACCTGTGCTTACCTCGATGATATTGCCATCTTCAGCAATACCTGGCAGGAACACTTGACCCATATAGGAGCGGTCCTAGACAGGATTAGGGCCGCTGGTTTAACGCTGAAACCAGCCAAATGCAGCATAGGCATGGCCGAAGTACAATACCTCGGCCATCGGGTAGGATGTGGCAAGCAGAAGCCAGAACCAGCCAAGGTAGAGGCTGTAGCTCAATGGCCTACCCCTAGGACTAAGACTCAGGTATTAGCGTTCCTAGGAACGGCCGGGTACTACCGGAAATTTGTCCCGAACTATAGTGCCCTGGCCAAACCCCTCACTGACTTAACCCGTAAGAACCTGCCCCGCCAAGTGACCTGGACCCCGTAGTGTGAGCAGGCATTTCAACTGTTGAAAGATGCATTGACCAATGCCCCTGTCTTGGCAGCTCCCAATCCAACTAAACGTTTTCTTGTTCACACAGATGCTTCTATGTTTGGATTGGGAGCAGTACTGAGCCAAGTCGGGGCCGATGGCGGAGAACACCCCGTGGCTTACATCAGCCGCAAGCTGTTACCCCGGGAAGTAAGCTACGCCGCCATCGAGAAGGAATGCCTGGCTGTTGTGTGGGCCTTGAAGAAATTACAGCCGTATTTATATGGACAAGCCTTTTCCCTGCTCACAGATCACAACCCGTTGGTCTGGCTAAACCGGGTGGCTGGGGACAATGCCAGGCTGCTGCGCTGGAGTTTGGCGCTGCAGCCCTTTGACTTTAATATCCAGTACCGCCCGGGTAAACAGAATGGAAACGCTGACGGTTTGTCAAGACAAACTGACCTAGAGAAATGATCCTTGAGCCTCCCCGGACATCCCCAAGCCGATCCGTGTGGGATCAGACTGTGTATGCCGGGTTGTGGGCAAGGGGGAGCAGTGTAGCGGATGGCCCTGTGCTGTCCTGAGCAATTCATGTATTTCTATGCATTCGTGTGAAAATGGCAAAGTCTATGTATTTGATGTATTGGATTCGTCTGAATGTTAGGTCGTTTCATTCCCTTAGTTTGTTCGAATGAAACTACCGAACAGTCAGACCTCCCATGTGTGAAGTGTGTTCTCAATTACCCGTTGCAACCCGTTGCGAACGGGTAATTGGCAAGTGAAGTAGCCGTCCTTTGTTCTCGGGAGTGGCCGCCATTCGAAAAACGAACACGTGGCGGCGGCCATTTTAAAACTCCCGAACAGCAGTGTTTTGCCGTTGAGTGTCTGGAACTCAAATTGGACACTCGACTAGGCGAACACCGCTGAAACCTCCACAAGCCCGGTCCGTTCGGTTCCTAACTACCGAACGGCCCCTCGTTCGGTAGATAGAAAGAACCGAACGAGGGGATTCATGCGAACCCTCCCTAGCCTCTATAGCTAGAGGCTTTCGTGCAGTTTGTTCCCTTACTCCAGGACCGACCGCAGGGCCCATTCGCATGGAACCGCATTCGGCTGTCTCAGTCAGTGCAGTCGGTCATTTTATTCCCTCCATAGATTTCCCGAACCCCTGGTCTGATCTGGGTGATTTTTGGATATGTTGTTCACCCAGATCAGGGCTATCAGGGGATGTAGGATTTAAAGGGGTACCCCTACGTTTAGGGGTACATCCAGAAACGGGGGGAATTACTGTACTGGATAAGGGGATTATGATGCTGGCTGAGGGGAGGAGATGTGTGGGAGGTTACCAGGACGGGATTGGCTACTGTACTAATGATTGTAAATCCCTCCCTTGCATGGGAGCATGCTTTAAAAGGACAGTGTGGATTAAAGATTTCAGTTCTGCTCCTGAAACTGTGTGTCGTCCAGTTATTGGGATTGCTGTTGGCATATTGCTGTTATTTTACCTGCTGGAAACCTTGCCTGTGGATTTACTATTTACTTGTTCCTGAGCCTCACTTGGATTATAAGCGGAGATACCCTGGGTAATATTGCATCTCCGCAGGGCCGGTGCTTGGATTTTTAGGTACATAGGCGAAGATGCATTTTTCCGCCCCCCCCCCCCAAAATCTTCACCTATGTGCCTCTTAACCAGCCCCTCTCCCCTCCCCGACCATTAGTGGTCCCTTCCGTTCCCTGTCCCTTAGTGTTCTTCTCCCCTCCCCCCTTTCCCCCTCCCCCCTTTTTTCCCTGTCTCTTGGTGTTTCTCTCCCATTCCCTCCCTGTCCCTTGGTGCACCCCCACCCCTTTAGTGGTCACACTTCCTGGTGTGTGCCTCCTACCTCTATTGTTGCATTGCCGAGCGGAGCAGATCCCCTAAAGGAGCTTCAGTTTTCTGTACCCGGACGGACTGACAGGGAGTGCTCTCTCTGTGAGCACCTCCTGTCAGTCTGGCCAGGTACAGGAAACAGAAGCTCCTGTACCGCGCTCTGCTCCACTACACTCTGTACACACTGACAGTCAAACACTCAATGACAAACACACAGACACAGACTCATTGATCTGACACACACTCATTCATTGACACTGACAGACCCACACTGATTGACACTCATTGACAGACACACTGATAGTCACACACAGACTCAATGACAAACATACTCTCACTGATTTGACAGACACACACTCATACACTGACAAACACACTCATCATACACTGACAGACACACTCATACACTCACATGCACACACACTCATACAATCACTCACAGACACACAGACAGTCACTCACTCACAAACACACACTGTCACTCACAGACACACACCGAAGCACACAGTCACTCACAGACACACACACACACACTGTCACTCACAGACACACGCTCAGTCACTCAGACACACACACTCATACAATCACTCACTCACACACACTCAGTCACTCAGACACACATGCTGTCACTCACAGACACACATGCTGTCACTCACAGACACACATGCTGTCACTCACAGACACACGCTCAGTCACTTAGACACACACACTCATACAATCACTCACACACACACACACACTGTCACTCACAGACACACG